GTTAGTGCTTTGAGATGGCAGGCTTGTATGATTAAGCCTAAGAGATTGGATGATTTTAGGGGTAAGGAAATGTTGTGGGATTTGAAAATTATCTCACCTTTTTCTGTTATGACTAGTGTTATGTGGATAAAATGGGAGCCTCCTCCTGGGTCCATGTTGAAACTGAATGTTGATGGTGCATCTAAGGGGAGTAGTGGTCTTGCATGTGGTGGGATGGTCATAAGAAATTCCCAGGGCCATATGGTGGTGGCAGCTACTGCTTTTTATGGGGTTGGGTCTAATATGAAAGCTGAATGTTTAGCCTTGTTGGATGGATTAAAGTTGATATTGAGAAATGGTCTGGAGGGAAATCAGATTTGTATTGAATCTGATTCTCAGGTCTTAGTTCAGATGGTATTAAGACAGGCAGAAGTGCCCTGGAGAATGAGGGATGTTATGGAGCAGATAGGGATTGTTTTGGATAAGTTGCATTTCCAGATGAGGCATATTTACAGAGAGGCCAATGTCATTGCTGATTTTTTGGCCTCTTTTGCTGTGCAGACCGGCAGATGTCATGAGTTTTCTGAGAATGATGTGCTGCCTTTTGATGGGAGATTGCTTTTACAGAGGGACCAGGGCATGTTACCTACTGCTAGATTAAAAAGGAGGGTAGTGTTTGATAAAAAGAATGGAGCTGGATGAATTGGTGTCTTGATGGGATGGAGTTGAGGGAGGAGGTTAGAGGCATTGTAACTGGACTGTGGCTGCAGCAGTTGAGGTGCTGACGTTCTGAGCTGGGACGTTTTTGAGGATAGCTGTTGGGTGCCGGTGTTTTAAGGTGAGGTGGACTTTGTGCTTGGCTGCTGGTTGCAGTAGTTGAGTTATGAGTTCACAAACGCAGAGGAGCTTTTTAGCAGCTGGAGGATGCAGGTCCTGGTTTGGGCTATTTGCAGGTAGTCTGCTCTTATGTAGGCAGTCTGTGTTTGCTCAGATCATGGACTGGTGATGTTTTGCTTTGGTGTTTGGGCAGTTGGTGTGTGCAGTCTGAGTACTCGGCTTTGATTTGCATTGCACTGTAGTTTCTGCACTGGTCTGGGGCATGGAGTGTACTGGCAGTTTGTGTAGTTTTGGAAACCCAAATTTTCAAACCTCAATTCTAGGAAAAACAAGAGGAAAACCCTAAGAAATTCACATACATCCCTAAGCATCACAATAGAAGAAGAAATAGAGCTCTAAAATTCCAAAATTTCATTATTTCTTTATCAAAAAGAAACTTCAAGTCAAAATGTCAAAGGCCAAGGAAAACATGATGCATACTCCCCCCTCCCCCAACCCCCAAATCTGTGCAAAAGAAAAAAAACACGAATAGCAATATGGAAAATACTTTCTTGATAATCATCCTAATGATATTTCCCAAAGATGATGTATGCTTACACAGATAAAATCAGAAAACAGAGTAACATGTGTAGAACTCTTGGATTTGTATCAGATACTTTTCAACAGCAAATATATTTAGGAATTAAAATTAGGCACTGCAAGAGCTATCAGAAATCAAAGCACCTGTTTGGAGGGGAAAAAAGAACAAGACTTGCCTAAGATGGCAAAAAGATTAGATGTAAAAACTATGAAAGGATCTCGTGTAACACCAAAAACTGCTAGTATTGAGTCAGCCTGAAAAACAAGCATCAAGATTATCAGGACAGCATTAGCTGGCAAACCTCAAACCCTTCAAATAAGTATGACTGACACAGGATAAGGGATAAAAATACTAATGAAAATAAGATAAGAGATTAGAGTAACATACATCAAATGCAATATCACTGAGTTCTATAACTGCTACTGTGAGAAGTAATGGTGTAGCCTGTCCAAAATGTTTCACACCTGTTAGAAATCAAATTAATATTAATTTAAAGCACAAACTCCTCTAAATTCCGTAAACTAAAAGATCCTTTCATGTAGTTTAGCATGTCTAGGTAGTATACGAATATATGATACAGGCATATGAAAAATGGGTATAGTACAATGTCAATGGGTTAAAGGTATCCATAATCAAAGAGCTAGTTCAATCCCAATCTCAATCTCAATTCAATCACAAACACAACACACATAGAACACAATGCACACACACCTAGCACACAAATCACACACACACCCAGCACACAGAACACACACACACACACCAATCACACAGAACACACACGCAACACACATAGATGCTATGCATATGTGCACAGATCTATGTATATGCATATATGCACAGATATGTGTGTATATATATATAGAGAGAGAGGAGATGAGATGAGAGAGGGAGAAGAGAGAGAGAAAGAGAAAGGGCTTACCTTCGTTGGTGAATGAGTGAGAGGAGAGGAGATCTCGTCGGCGACGGTGAGAAAATGGAGAGAGTGAGGCAGCGATGGAGAGAAGAGAATAGAGAGAGTGAGGTAGCGATGGAGAAGAGAGAGAAATGAGGTGGGTTTAAATAGGTTCATGAAAAAAGACTATTTTTGCTGTTAAAGGAGTTCAAAACTCGGATCTCATTAATCCTTTTTAGCGCGTGTTTCTGTTTCACATGTTTTTTGGAACAAAAATTTTTTGTTCCCATTTTTTTGTCTTTGTCTCTAATACAATGAAAACAAAACAAAACCAAAAACAGTTACCGAACATATTTTTATTTTCATTTTTGACAAAAATTGAAAACAAAAATACAAAATATAGGACAAAAATAGTTACCAAACAGGGGCTTATTCCTGTAACAATAATCAAAACATACCATAATACATCAAAACATTTTAAAATATCTCGAAACAACCATGGTTACCATAATTCACTAAACCCTTAATGACCCATGATCTGGGTACATCGATCCCAAACAAGGCAGGTTCGCGATCCAGATACCAAAATAGACGACCCCAAATTATAATACTAATCTTAAATTAATTCGCTTTAGAACATGTAGCACAAATATAAAATACATATTAATTGACTACATGTATATAGTTTTATAATTATCTATTGTTTTAGCTAATAGAAAATTAAAGTACAACTATAAGATATATAGTAACTAACTTAGAGTTTATGAATGTTTTGTAATATATAATATTATATAGTAGTAAAAACGATCAACATAAAAGTTCCAAACACCGTACCAGTTAAACCTACTCCCATCGTATCGCGTACCTAAATAGTGTCGTACCATATATCCGTACCTATAACACGTACCAAAGCCACCCACGATCCTGGTAACATTAGAAATAACTCAAAATATAAGAATTTCAATATTATATTACTGTTTAGTTTCAGTTTCCATGAGAATTGTTTCTGTCGTTTCACTAAAAACAAAACGAAATTTAGTACCCCGAGCAAGACTGAGGCCTGCTTGCAAAACCTGTCTGATCCTTTCCCACCTACTCTACCCCCTTTGCATCTGAAGCTTTCCGCAAGTACCCTCACATTTATTCCAACCCTTGACTTTATTCTGCTCCATAAACACATTGCTGTCAGGTCATGAACTTGGCCTCTACCTCTTTCAACCGAATAAAAGAAAGATTTGGAAATTACACCTTTGTCAATAAGATCAAAGGTTTTCTCCCATATTGGAAAATTGTTTTGTTACTTGTAGTCTGACTGTCCCTTTTTGGAATGATGTCTAATGAATATGATTATAGGTCTAGTTAAACAGTTAATCATTATGATCACAATGTGAGAATTAAATTTTACGATGATCATCCTTAAATGGGTGGTTCTCTAGCTCAAGCCAACTTATAACTGGGTAAATTGATGCATCAATTCTGCAATCAGAACGACAAATGTGAAGGACTAGTTTTTATTGGTTTTGGGATTCAAACTCATGCACGAGCCTAACCATGCATCCTTGTGAAAAACATTTGAGTTCTGTATAGTCCTTGGGAGCTGTCGTATGAAATATTCATGAATAGGTATTAAGGGTGCATGTGTCCTATTGTGCAAATTTATGCTAAGTGCATGTGTTCTATTGTGCAAATTTATGCTAAGTGCAGTATATACAGAGACTGCAACAATCGTAAGAACTTTCACAAGTTGCGATATGCATCTTGATTGATTTGTGCCATAAATATAACTTAAAAAATTGGAGAACTGGACTTATACAAGAGGAACACTTTGTCTATACAATCAGGCTCACTTATTCCTAGTTCTTGTCACTGAAAACGACTATAAGATATCAATCAAAAAGTCTTAGTGGTGTTGCAAAATATTTGCTTCCATGATGAGTGCAACCTGTCTGTAGTCCTCCTCCATGACTTTCCCTATTTGCTCTCTTGGCCAAGGTGGAAATGAGGACTAAAGTGATCAGATTGAATACTTATCTGGTCGGATTTCAAATTCTAAACTGACAAACTCTTTCTTGTTCTTGAATTAAATAAGCCTTGGAAATTGCCAAAGTATATAGTTGTCACAATGTCTGCCTTTCATTTTTCAGTCCAAAGATAGCAATGTCTTCATCAACAGTCGATGATTCACTTGGAAAATATGATTACAGATAGGGTATTAATACTGAAGACTAGACCATCGTTGACAGTCATTTTCCTGTCCTTATGACTCAACTGGACTTGGGTTATTTTGCCTTCAGAAATCTGTGAAATCCTACTTTTGACAAATTTAGTTTATTAAACAATTAAAACATAAGGTTGTGGGTGCACGAATCAGCACTTCTAAAATTAAGTAGAAGTTAACCTGTGCGCATGTTATTGAGGATTACTGGGGGCCACCTTGATAGAAAGTTATAGGACTCGGGAAGGGACTATTATACTAGAAAGTTAATGGCCAGTTGTTAAGGTTAGGCTTTTAGGCCTCGATGAATGTCCTTTTACGCTCCAGAGTGCACTTTTCTTTATTTGAAGGATAGAAGTGTGCAGGTATAACTCTTCAATTGGAGTGTTTGTCTGACAAAAATTGAATTGTTTGCATTTTTTAATTCGAAAAAAGGGTTTTTTTTTTCTCATCACCCTGCATACTTTTCTTTTTCGTGCTTATGAATCTCAATCATGAGTTTTTTCTTCTTTCCACTTTTTGCAAAGAATCATGCTGTTTCCATACGAAATTATGGGGTTTGTGGTTGCCTCATATCAGGTGTGTAATAAATGTGTTATGTATTACTCAATGTGTTATGTATAGCGCTGGCACTACACATCCTGCACATTAAGCTGCTGTCCAGTGCTTGCATGGCAGTCCAATTTCACTGGTCTATTAATTTGGAATGGACCCTATGGGCTCTGTTACATGTGTGGAAAATAACTAAGATTATAACTTCGGAGGGAAACCATACTAAAAAGCTGAGTTTTGTGAGAGAGAGAGAGAGAGAGAGAGTCTTTCGGAAAACCGAGCTTCCTAGCTACGAAAGTCCAGACTTCCAATGATGTAAGAGCATTGAGTAAAGGAGGTGATACTTTTCCTTTTGCTGTAGTGCAATAAGATTCTTAACTGCTCAATCAGGTTAATCATTGTATATGTTTTTGAGACTAGAATGTTTCAAGGGCACTTATCAAGGGAACTAAATTACCAGGTGTAAAATGAATAACTGAATCCATAGACGCAGTAGATTAGTCAACCCCCCACCCCAAAAAAGAAAAAGGAAAAAATCATTTCCTTTATTCTTTGTTAAGTTGCTGCATTTTTTGTATGCATTGAATTGTGCTCTTGATGGAGAAGTTTGAAGAGCTCTGCTAATACTTCATAGGTTTCAAAACCTCACAACAATCTAATTGTTAGGGTGTCGCGCATGATTTTAAGCTTTGAGCTACATATTAAATTATTGGCTGTAGACATTGTGTGAGAATAACCATAATATTGTATTGCTACTTTGCACCTTTATTCTGTCACCACATTGCTAATGCTATGTATCATGATAATTTTTTTTTATTTGACCCAACTCTTTTGAATTTCGATGATTTGCTCTGGTAGGCTTTGGCGTGAAGGGATTTGGTCTCGCAGGAAAAATATCAGATGCCAAAGTCATACTTAATGGTGGCCAACGAGTTACTTTTCTTGGGCCTGGTGGATATTTTTCATTGTATCCTACCATCTTTATTGCCTTAGGGTTGGATTTTACTTCTGTTCTGGTCCATAACACTTACTGCATATCTTTCTTATTTTATGAAATGAATTATACTTGGATGTTTGCTCAATGTACACACACAAATTTTTATTGTACGAGTGTATGTTCAATGACGTGAAACTTGAGTTCTTCTTGTTTCTTACTTCTTTGGAGTTTTGCAAGACTAATGATTTTCGTGGTGTATATTTTGTTTGTCAAAAGTGAATATTCAGATGTAAACTTGGCACTTGGGGGTATTTGATAGTCAGACAGAAAGGATGGTCTATCAATCACATGCATTTTTGCGTCTTTTTTCATTTTTATTTTTTTTGCAGTAGTTTTGTAAAGAATCATTAGAAAGAAGGGAGAATATTATATGCAGTACTGGATAGGAAAATACTGACAGAACTTTACAAAGTTCTATCGTGAAGTAACAAAGTAGTTACAAAAGCCTGTTTGAAAACTGGCTTAAAATTGAAGAACCACCAGTTTTCAAACAGGCTGTTCTTCAATTTTAATAATGATTAGCATTCAACAATTTATATCTACCACGTCTACATTAGCATTAGAATATCAAAGTTATGTGAGATTGTCTTCTTCTTGTTGGTTGGATAATAGTAAAATAAATTGATGTTTCTGTACAAAGAAGTGGTTTTGAAACGCAAGTTTAGGGTTGATAAAATTCTTCTTGTTAAATCAATGAAGGGAGTTCTCAAAATTAAGTCTGCGGGTGATGCAAGTAGATTATAATTTGTTCACATCAGCTAATGGTGTTGTCCTTAAAGAACCTTCACTCCTTAGTTGCATGAAATTATTTTTCTCAAGATGGGATCTCATCAGATTTTGATTCATATCTTGAAATCTGGATACTGGGCCACATGTCAAATCACTATGATACAAAAAGGTCTCCAATTCTGCTCTTGGGCCTACTGTCTTGTATCCGTTTATATAACATGTACCTATAATGTTGCAAAAAACTTGAAGTTTGAGTGTGGTTTTTTTATAATTTAATTTCTGGAGGATCATTCTATTGACTCAATATAGTTCCTTAACCACTGTGCTCGAAGCCATAATGTGCCAGCCGGGACTCATCTAATTGAAGTGGTGGCAATTGGTTATTTCTTTTCTCCTGTGAGCTTCTGCTGGCTTTTTCTTTTTGTACTTCTTTTGTACTTGATCACATATTTTCCTATATCAGATATCACGTGATTCTGTCTTACTTCTGTGTGTCCAGGTTCGTGTTGATGTTAGTGCCAGAAACCCTGGCAAGGTTCAGGCAGCACTAACAGAGAACAGGAGGGCTCTGAATGAGCTAGTTTTGGAGCCGTTGAGAGAGGAACAGTATTATGAGGTTGGTTTCAATTTAAGTTATGAATATATTCTGAATTTTCTCTGTTCCTGGTAATCACTGGTTTTATTGTTGTTCATTTCTTATTTTCTTTCAGATAAGGGAACCCTTCTCCATAATGTCTCTTGTGAAAAGCCCAATGGGTCTGATGGTTGGATTTATGCTGATTGTGATGTTCTTAATGCCCAAACTAGTAGAAAACATGGGTAAGTTTCTGAATTTGGTTTAGCATTTGTTCCAACTGTATACCTGAGCGTCAACCACCTCTGGATTTTCTCAAGCTGGCTTGGCTAAGATTGGCAACCCTTTTATTTTGTTAGTGCTTTGCCAAAGCCTAGTCATAGTCAAATGTTGTGTCGACTCTTTCCAATTCTTGTTGGTTCATGAGAACTGGGCCATTTGAACACCCTGAAAAATTTGAAACGATGGAGGGAAGGTTAGCATGGATCTGCATTGTGCTATGGAAGTAGAATGTTGTTTAATGACCACTTTCCCTTTCGACCTCCTTCAGCAGCATCTCTAGTTCAATGGCAAGCTCATTGCCAGCTGGCCTAGGAAAAACAAAAGTGATGTTTTAGCATGATGTTTGCAGAATATCTCTATCCAAGTTGGCCCAATTTCATTAGGAGCATGAAGTTAAACTTAATAGGCCTTGCTGAATTTGGGGACCTGCCCTCCACGTCTGGGACTACTGTCCTAGTGGAGGAAAACACTCAATTTTCATCTCAGATTAATTTCAGATAGGACCACATCAAACTCTTTGGCACTCATGAGAGACTGCCAGAGTTTTGTTTAAGTTTCTTTTCATTGAATCACAGTCCGCTTTACGTTGTTGATCCATGTTCCAGGCACAGCATGGGTCATCTGGTGATTTTTATTTATTTTCATGTCTGTTTTTTTTGCTCATAACATTACTCTTTTATGTATTGGGAACAGATCCAGAAGAAATGAGGAGAGCTCGAGAAGAGATGACAGGCCAAGGGGTTCCTTCTCTTGCAAGCTTGTTACCTGGAGCCCAGAGGAATTAGATTTGGTGTTCCATGAGGTCTTGGATAGATTTTGCTATTAAAATATGCCTTTCATTTTAAATGGAAGCTTGAGGAGTCTCAGAATCTTTACGACTTCTCCTTCTTGTAGTGTTAATTATTTTTGGATTCTGTAATTTCAATAGCTGATTGTATGCTTGTTCAACTTTAACTTGGAAAAAACAGCCAAACGGTACGAAGGCCTTTTGGCCCTTTTTTTTGGTTGCTTTTAATGTTGTAGGGTGAGTTATTGAAAACACCCCACCCATGGTATAGGGTGTGAGATTTCTGGTTTACTCTTTAAGGATTGGTACCGGCCCATGCCTCTAGTCAACGGATCTAGCTCAAAGGATAGGGGCATGCCCTACTCATACGTGTACCCTAGGTGGGCCCTTGGGGGGCTAGCCTTGATGGGCCTTAAACGGATTATAATTGTGTTTTGTTATTATTTTAAAATTTCCAATTGTGATGTTAAAGTTACAATTAAGAAAAAATTTATTTGTACCTAATTTAAAAATCTAATCAATTACAGCTGTTGGATTAATGGCTAATTTTATCTAAGTATCAAAATTTTGTTTTGGTGCATTATTTTGGTCACCTAGAAAACGACAACGTTTTGACGTGTTTCGGAAATGTTTCAATTGGTTTCGAAAATAAAAAGAAAAAAAAAATTAAGAATTATTTTTTAAAACATTGGTTGAAATATATTAAAATATCTTGAAATATTTTGAAATAATTGTGTAAATACATTAAAATATAACAAAATATTTCAAAACATTATGGAACATTTCGAAGCATTAGAATTTTGATTCTATCATTGATTCATTTTGATCTCTTTGAAAATAAAAACGTTTCGGATGTTTTGACCGTTCTGAAACGATATTTTGATCCTTGATTTAATCTAATCAATATGGTTGCATTTAATTACGTTAGGTTCTCAAATTAGATCTCATAGTATTGTTCAAATATTAATTTTAATGATTGAAATAAAGAATTAATTGACAGATTTGGATAAGTTGTATAACTACAAGATAAATTACTGGATCTTTTTCTTATCACTAATAAAAAAAAATAAGAATCAATGCCATAGATATCTTGTTGAATGTCTCTTTGTTTTTATGCATATGGTTTAACATAGATATACTAGTTATTGTTTGTGTCTGAAGACATTGAGTAATAAAAAAAATTGTCCATTATAAAAATATTTGTTTTCACACTCAAAATTAAATCAAAAAAATAGATGAGAGAAAAAAGAATTTAAGCACCAATGGTGGCGATGAGAGGCAGTGATTGGCGACGACAACTGTGGTGGTGGTGACAGTCATGGGTGACAATAATAATGGTGGTAGTGGTAGGCGGTAATGAAATTTCTTGCATAATTGTCATGAGTTTTTTATCCTCCTAGTGTTAAGGGTGACAGCGGTGGTGCTGGTGGGCAACAATGATGGTGGTTGATAGTAATGAAGGTGGGCAACGACAGTGGTGGTAGAGGTGGTGGGTTTGTGGTGGTGGGCGGTGACGATGATGGTGGTGGGTGATGACGGGTGCTTTGTGGTGATGGGTAGTGGTGAATGACGGTGGTGGTGGTAACTGTGGAGGGGGTGGGTGGCGGCGATGGTAGGCTAAGATGGGTGGTTGTGGGTTGTGGTAGTGGGTGACAATGGGTAATGGTGAGTAACGATGATGGTGGTGTTAGGCGACGGTAGTTGTGGGATGGTGGTAGTAGTAATAAATATAAGAATTTGATGACGAAGGTGGTAGTGATAGTGATAATAAATATAAAAATGAGATGATTATTATGGTAAGTGTTGGCGGTGGTAGCAATTAGTGGTAGGTGATGACAATAGTGATGGTAGTGGATGGTTGCGATAGTGATGTTGATGCCGGTGACGATGTGTGGTGGTGGCAGTGATGGTTATGGCAGAAGTGGTGGTGGGGCAATGGTGGTGGTGGGACGACGACAGTGGTGGCGGTGACGACGACGGCGATGGTAGCGGTGGTGGTGAAGTGTTTTGTAGATAAATGATTTTAAAAAAAATTAAGTTATTTTTTTCTTAATTTTACTTACTACTTTTGACTTATTTGGAAGTAATTAAAGTAAATTGTTCAAAACACTATTTTTTTTAAAAGTACTTAAAAAAAGTCATAAGTCCTAAAAGTACTTTTGAAAAGTTATCGTAAACACACCCTTAGGGGGCCTATTTTCCGTATTAAATTTGAGGAGTTAATATTAGCCGTCAGCTTAACTTTAAAGTAAAATTTAAAACGATCTCAACTGCGAAAAATAAAAATTATTTTTTATGTTATACTTTATTATATAGATGGTTCGCATTTTTTTTTAATTCAATAATTTTATCCTCCATGAAAATGTTATTTTTCATATTAACATTTGAAGTTATGTATTAAGGGGTATTACCATTTTTTAGGAAATCAAGCTGGGGTTCCTTATATCATACTAGGTATCCTGATTAAAATATTTATTGTAGTTAAAATGTAATTTATATAATTAGTTGTGGGACTGTAATTTTATATTTATCTGGATTGTTACTATGTAACATACGTTCAAAAATTGTGTATTATTCTATAGGGATGAGGGATCTAGTTTTTGTTTTTATTTTTTTTATATTAGAAGCGTAATAGCCCAAAGTCAACATTTTTTTTGTTACAGTTTTGCATTAATTTGGTGGAAGGTTATTTGTTTATCTGTGGGGATTCTTTTTGGCATAACCTCTTCACAAAAATGGTTGCCTATACCTTTTTTCTAGTACTAATGGGAACAATTGACCCAATGATTTTAATTCTAATCTACTTTATGATTATGAAGAGCACAAAAAAAAATTACTAAAATTTGTAATTTTGAATAATTACTCAAATTTTATGCAACATCCTAAATGATTGATAGCAAATTGTTTAGCCATGTCCCATGTTCCATATTGTCCATTCAAGACTCACGTTTATATTGCACTTTTAGTGATGATTATAAGTTTCATTTTGTCCCTCTCTAGTGTCATGATTCTTTCATTGCACCTCATAGGTTATTGATTTTACTTTACCCTAAATGTAGACATTAAAAAAAATTATATTTGGACATTTTTTTGTCTAAAACATGACCAACATTTATTTTTGTATCAATGTAAAATTAATTCAAATAGTTCAAAAAAGGCAAATTGACATCATTACTAGAGTTTAAGGGGTGAAAGTAAAGAAAAATAAGCCCTAGAATTACTCGCCTCATTCTATGCACTCAATATATTCACGGATGGCAACTTTGGTTCGAGTTGATAGTATGCAAAATCCGGAATAAAACAATAGGTGTTTCAATTGAGGAGTGTTGTTTTTCAGGAGGGAGAGCCCGATGTTAATCTTCTTTAATGATTATATACGTGGAGTTATAGACACTTTACCTAAAGGGGGTGAATAATTTTTTAAATTTTTGTCCAATTGATTATTAATAAAAACTTAAACGACCACAATTACCTCTTCCCACAAAGATATAACAATTAATGTAAGAACCCTTTTAATCACCACACCCTATTTTACACATGATGATTTATTTTAATTAATCTTCAATTAATTCGCTCACAATTAATCTCACGAGCTTCGATCCCAAATTGCACAACTATGTATAGATAGATAGTCAAACAATCATTCCAACAAAAACATAGTACGCATGTGTGTTAACAATCACAAATGTATACGAAAATCAATAAATATCACAAATGATTTGTTGACGCGAAAAACCTTCGGAAAAAATTGCGGGGAACCACTTGAGGTTCTCCAAAATCTAATCCACTACTTACTAAGTCAACATACAAGTACTTGAGTTTTATACTTCAACAAATACCATGGCTAGATGCTCTTTTCATTATTGTCTCTTCGCCAAAGGACCTCCTTCGACTTCTAGCGTAGCTTCACTTGGACCTCCCCTGCCGCACGGTTTGTCTAGGCGTCGGGCAATCATGGGCACACTAACAAGTTTGGTATGCACACACCAATGGGTTTGGCTCTAAACTATCAAGATCTTCAACATCAAGTTGTGAGGTTGGGTAGAATCTTTTGTGGCAACCTTTAGGTATAGGAATATAAGTTAGTGGTGGAAGTTCTCAAGGTAGAAGATGTATTTCTCTCTTAGAAATCTCACAAGAAACTTAACATAGCTATGCAAAAGACTCTCCCTGTTTATAGGTCCAGAATAAGGGTAATCTTAATAAATAAGAAAACTCAGATTCGCGAACGATCACTCGATCAGTGGGAAGACGGTCATAAGGTGGTTGACACTGGAATAAAAATCATATTTCAAACCTGTCCAAGAGCAACACTGCTTGAACGACCAAAAGCACCACTCAAGCAATCTTGAAAAACCGCTTAAGTGAGCTCTGTGCACTCCTCTGTTGTATTTTTTTTTTATCTAATTCTCTAAGTCATAAAGAGACCGCTCTAGCCAAGCCTAGTGAGCATAGATCGGTCTCTACAGATTTTTAAAAAATAAAACCAAGCAAAAAAACTTGTCCTCTTGAGCACCAAAAGGGGTTGCTCAAGAGGGGTCCGATAATGACTCAATATATATTTTCAAAACACAAAAATGGTTTAGAAAAAACTTTTCTTTTTAAGACACCTAGGAGCCATACTCAGATTGCTTCCAATTCCATTTTCATCCTAATCATCATAAGTTAAAAGTAACTAAGGGTTCATCTTAGGTGTTTAGGTTGTTAACTTTGTCTTAAGCATAAATGTGCATATGGAGGTCGAATGATGTTGATTTAACATTTGATCTCCTCCCTTCAATGATATTTTTGGATCTTTAACTTGATAGCATCATGACCATAAAAAATTATTGAGACTTACAATGGACTCCACAAAATTAGTCAATTACAAAATGTGATCCAACAAGGAGATTGCCAATAATCATGCTATGTTGTCAGCCTTACCCTAAGAAATATTATGAAGGCTTATGAAAATGAGAAAGATCATTCATTGTGAAATCATGAAAAGTGCAGGCAAGC